AAATTTCAAAAGACATACCTCGCTCTCAATAGCACTGGCCTCATCATCACTCTCAGTGGCGGCAGCCATGCCACCAACACCGATTCTACCATCCTGAGTTTGGATACCACGTCTCTTGGCCAAGTTCTCATCACGCTTAGCCTTGCGAATCTCAACCTGCTGTTCTTCACGGCGGCGGCGGAGCTCATCGGGCTTAAACTGGTTTTTGGCCTTGAACTGCGTGCGGCGATGTTCGGGAATGTAGCGTTCCGCCATGATGAAGATTGAAAAAAGAAATTAAGCGCGCCGCGGGGATTATGTGGTAGGTGATGTTGAGTGGGCGCGCTGGGGGGATGGAAGGAGAGTAGAAAGAAGGAAGAGGGAGAGATCTGATGTGGGGGAAGAAGACTTCTGTGGGAGGGGAAACGATACGATCACGTGATTATCGCATTTTATTTACATCCTCCGGTTTGGGACAACAAGCTCTTCCTCTTTGAGCTTTTGGATTTCTCCTTCTTTGGCAGTTCATTCATGGAAATCCCACTATTATGCATATTCCTTAAAAAAAAGGTACATATTTTCTGAGCTGGTTTGTACTATCTCATCGGGAGCTTGCAGCACGTCTAACCTAAGCTCTTCTTCCTATCAACAAAAGACATGGCTTCAGGTGATCTAGTGGATATTACCACTGCTTGTTCTTCCCAAGGAAATTTCAATGTCCTAGGAGTGGTGGTTGATACTCTACCACTCTTTCGGACCAGAGGCTCGTCGGCATGCATCACATTTACCCTCAAAGACTGTGATTTTGATGGACCCACCTGGCGAGGTGGTCTCAAAGTCAAATATTTCAATGATGACGAGAGTCATCTTCCCAGTGTCAAGCTCAACGATGTAGTACTACTACGAAATATCCGGGTAAGTGGATTTAACATGTATATAGCAGTAACTAGTAAGCTGATACGATTCAGGTGGCAATTTACCAGAACAAACCAACAGGGGTTGTTTCTCAGCAATCCCAAGTGTCCTGGGTTATTTTCCGACCAGAACCAAGTTTGAGTTCCAGCCCATTCATCATCAGTGGTCCTATTCCTTTCGAGCCAAGTTTGAAGGAAAAGGACCAGGCACAATCACTCCTGGATCGCGTAGCTGCGGAGGGAATCTCTTTGCAACAACCCACGTCGTCCAGTGTATCCACCTTTCGGCAATCTTCTCATGTTCAGGCCTCCACTCCAGTCCCGTCATCTGGAGGGTTACCATGTGTTCCTATTCGATCTGCAAAGGTTCGCCTTTTGTGTCAGTTACTTGGCCAAGTTGTGAGCCTCAATACTTATGACAGCGAGAAATGTCAATTATATTTCACCGATTTTACTGAAAACGAGGAGCTTGTCAACTACAAGAAACCCGGAGAAGAGGATGATGAATCGGGTCCTGAAGGCGACCGATTTAATTATGTACAGAAGACAAAGAACTGGCCCGGCCCATGGGGCAAATTGACCATTCAAGTGACTTTATGGGAGCCGCATGCCACCTATGCTCGAGAACACCTCAAGGCGGGTGACATCGCTCTATTAACCTATGCCCGCATCAAGGAAGGCCGTGGTGGCCTGGAAGCTTCCGTTCATGAAGATAGACGATTCCCGGAGAAGGTCCATGTCCGGAAGATGAATGATGGCAGTGACGAGCGTGTACAAGAATTGATGAACCGTCGAACCGAATATTGGAAGATCCATGGCGAACCCAAGCCAGATACCAAAAAGGCCAAAAAAAGGAACAAGAGAGTCGAGCAGAAAAAGGAGGCTCGGAGAGAAGAAGGCCAACTGACCATGCCAGCAGCATCACGAATTAAATTGAATCAACATGGTGAGTTGAGTATCTACCGGAGAGAAGCGCATTAGCTGATAAAAGTTTAGTCAAAACACGAAATTACACAGTGCCTACTCTCCCTCTCGAGAAGATTTTGTTAGCAGAAACTCACATGAACAATGCTCCAGGGGGCGTTGTCTACCAGCTTCCCTTTCAAAACGTCAATTATCACTCTCAAGTCCGAGTGGTTGATTTCTTTCCCCCAAGGGTAGAAGACTTTGCAGTTCAAACCACTAGCGCTCCCTTGTTCGGCAATCAGAATGGTGCCACCGAGCCTAAATTTGGCTGGGAATGGCGGTTTTGTCTTCTTGTGGAGGGAGTTGAACCCAAACCTTCTAAACAACAGCCCCGAGAAGTGATGAAGCTCTACGTTTCCGGTCAAGATGGTGATTGTCTTCTTGATGATGATGCATTCAACCTCCGTGGCAACACGCGGAGACTAGAAGCGATAAAAGAGAAGCTTTTCCTCCTATGGGGCAATCTCGAAGAGGAAAAGTCGAAAGCCATAGCTTCTGGTCAACAAAGTTGGGGACCAGTAAAGTCGTGCCCATTCGAGTGTTGCATCAAGGAATATGGCGTTCGGTGCACCCATGGCAAAGACCCCAATGTCATGGATGTCGATGGCGAGGTATGCCCTCATCTTGGTTGTTTTGGATGGGAGAGACGATTTGCCATGTTCGGCACGACTATCCACACATGAATTGTGCATTCTTCAGTCTTGTAATACTATTAATTCAAATACCCCTAAATAAATGTTGTATGAATTGATCCTTTTATACTTATACAATTTTAAATCTCGAATCAATAGATAGATGGTTGAGTCTTTTGCGCCTGGAACCCTCTTTTTTCACCCGCATGGAAAGAAAGAAAACAACATGGAATTGTCAATGACTGTATAGCAAGCCTGCTCTCATGCACCGTCCATAACTCCCGAATTTTTGATAATGTCATGGGTGCTTCCCTTGAACCTTTTCACCCCGTGAAACCTCAAACCCGGTCACGCCGAACTCAAAGACAATATTTTAGGACCTTATTGCAGGTGCGAGAGGTTCAGATCTCCCGAGATGAGCATAAGATTGCCAGACGGCCGCTCAAATTTTCGTAACTTTGACAATGTTTGTGTCGATACCATGCGCCACGGGTTCAAAACGGCAGCTGTCGCCTCGGAAGCAAGTCTTTTTACCAGGCTCGCTCTGAGGGCAACGATGACCATAGATACACTCGACGTCATCACATTCTAGACCAAAGCGACAGGGTGTCATGCGAGCAATGGCAGACAGAATGTGCAGGTCTTGGCGGGATAATTTGCGATCATGGTCATGATAGCAATTCTCTTCATTAGGGCATTCACCGAGCAAGAAATGATAATTGCAAAGCTTGAGCTTCTTCAGTTTGTTAAGATCATCGCGAGGAATGCTCTTGAAGTCCAGCCGATCAACACGCTGACCATACTTATTTCGTTCCACCGTCTTGGGAGGGGCCGCACCAGGCACCTTGGACCGAACAACCTGGAAATCAGAAGACTCCGGTTTATTTGTCACCGGGGCCAATGGGGCGCCCAGATTTGACAGACTGGTGCTGGTTGAGGTTCGTGACAGTGGAGCAGGTGTTTGGAATTGCTGGGTTGGCGATGGTGTGAGTAAAGTCCGCGAAGGGATTGCGCTTTTCCAGGGAGCAGCCCAAGACGGTGCATTCGCTGCATTCGTTGCGCTCGGTGCAGTCAATGTCATCGGGGCAATCTTTGTGGTGCGGAAAACATCTGGGAACTGGGTGATTCGATAGTCCTGCTCTCGGAAATAATCAAATTCCTTCTCCAGTGGAAGACCCTCAACCAGCGAGACTCGGCCCTTATAATTCGCACCAGAAATGAGCTCTGTCAATGACCGGGCATATTCTTCATTGGAGGGACAGCCCAGGAAGAGTTGGTGGCAATGGCAGTTGTATAAGTAAAGCTTGAATGCCTCTGGAGGGAGCGAATCAGCAACGGTTTCTGTCATGTCAGGTTGCACCACATACCCTTGATTTTATCATGCGCTTTGTTTTTGCCAGTTCCAACATCCACAATTTCGAAGAACGATGCGCTCTCATTGAATCCACGAATAAATTCACTGATTGTGGATGCCTCTAGGGCGATTCCACCCCGGATGTAAGTCTCCATAAGTCCCTTCACATTAAGATAGATCTTGGTCATTATCTTCGGCTCGGTGAGCGTGGAAAGAATTGTCGTCACATAGCCTTGGAGAGATTTCCAGAGCTGTTTGGCCGCATTTCGTCCGCCCTGTTCTCCTAGTTGCAGAAATTCGTCCTTGAATATTATTCCTTCGCCGTCTAAAAGCAACACAACGAATGGTTCGCGGTCCTGGAAGGGGTGGAAAAAGAGGATATGTTAGCCTGAGCTTAGACGATGCGTCCACAGCTGTTGCTCACCATCATTTTCTTGACAACCGATATCTGGTCCATCAGCTCCATCTCATGCACCTGAACCTCACGATTGAACCGGGTTTCACGTTCGTGGTCGAGTTTCTCTTGTTGGAAGGAATTCTCTAGGGTGGTCACACGTTGAAGGAGTTCCTAAATCATGAATCTTGTTAGATATGAATCAGAGATCAAGGGAGGAATTGTTGGTACCTCAATGAAGTCATTCTTCTGTTGGTCCAGCGCGCTTAACTGGCGATAGCGCTCTAAATAAGCTTGGGTTGCCATTTTTGTAGATCAATAAGTATCGTTTAAAGATCCGAAAAGGGTTGGAATTGCGAAGAAGATGAATGCGACAAAAGAAGATAAGGAAGAAAGAAAAGTAAGGGAGAGAAGCAAGTTTCAAGTCCGATGAAAGCCAACAGGGAAATTCCGGTGGGCAAGCGCTTGCAGGAGGTGACAATCTAGAAGGCGCGTAAAGTGTTGAAATCACTATAATTCCCAATGATCAATGACCACCTCACTTTTATTAAATTAATTGATATAAGAGGAGAATTTATAGTCGTCGTCTTTGATTCAAATAAAAAAAATCAATCTAAGACCGCGGGTGTTATCTGGCTGAGTCAGCCCCCCGGTTTTGCATACGTGGAGCCAAATATTCCCCTTCACCTCATCTTGATCTTGACCTTTTCCCCGTTTCTACCTTCTCTTTCCCTTTTTTTTCTCTCTCTTCCGGTTTCAAGATGACTCGCTTTGGTTTCCTCTCTTTGGCTCTACTGTCTCTCCAGGCCTTTGTTGGCACCGGCTTTGCTGCTGTATGTCTCGATTTGTCTCGGGGACCACGTCGCATGACTCAATTGACTAATTGTTTGGTTTCGAACTTGTAGGATGCTGAGAACACTGAAGCAGATGTTCCCGCTCTGGCTGTCTCAGCCCAGGCTTCTTTCCCTGCTTCCGAGATCTTCGGTATCAAGCTTGTCAACGGTCACCCTACCCAGGCGCTGATCGCCATCTCCAACGATGAGCCGAACCCTATCACGGTGAACTTCGTCGGCGGTAGCCTTCGGAACCCCGATGACGAGGCCCAAATTGTCCGCAACTTGACGGCTACTCGTTATGCTCTCGAGGTTCCCGCTGGCGAGAAGGAGACAATCAGCTATAGCTTCGCTACCGAGATGCACCCCCAGGATCTCCGGTTGACTCTTTCCGCCATTATTTCGGACAGCGAGGGCCGCTTGGTTCCTGTCGTTGCCCACAATGGCACCGTTAGCATCGTGGAGGCGGATACCAGCATCTTCGACCCCCAGATGTAGGACACCCCCCTTTTACGTTGATCCTGCGAGGGCAATGGGACTAACAATTACCATCAGCATCTTCCTCTACTTCTTCCTGCTGGCCTGTGTCTCTGGCACCGGCTACTTCTTCTACACCGTTTGGGTCGCTCCCTACTTCCCCCAGAAGCGCAAGTCCGGAAAGACCAGCGAGAAGCGCACCCAGTCCAAGCGCGTTGAGACCCCAGTTGCCGAGGAGACTTCCACCGGCGCTGCGGTTTCTTCTACCAGTGCCTACAACGCTGATTGGATTCCCTCTCACCACATCAACCGCCCTGAGGCCCGCAAGGTCAAAGGCCGCTCTAAGGCCCGTGCGTAAATGCACACGTGACAGTCATATCCCGAGTGGAGGAAGGGGGACAGTTCTTCTCAATGGATACCATTGTCAGAGTTTTTGTCTAGTGTGAGGGCAGCATTGGACATGTGCTGGAAATGCACCAGTCACTGTTGCTTGTCACAAGGGACATGTATATCTATGAAATAGAAGATTTTGGCCTAGTTTAGCTTCTACGGATGCTAAACAGGATCACTTTTGGAGAGTTTAATCCATTGTAGTTATACCATGCTGTGCCTGTTTTGGCAGTACTGGTATATATTCACTAGCACACCGATCGTTCACAGTTTCTTCCATTCCTTAAACTCCTGCTCCAGATGTTGCTTCAATTCCGCAAACCGATTCCCAAATCCCCTGCTACAGCGCCAACAAGTAAAATCTCGCTTTAGATACCCCTGTTTCGTCGGATCCCGTCGCACATCATCTTCCGCCAGCGGGAAGTCCTCGATTGGCACGAAGAATGGTGTCGAAAAGCTATTGTAGTGTTTTCGGTGCTTCAAGCGATCGCTGTACCTATCCACCGATAATATGTGGACGTGTAAGTGGTTCATGGATGGGACAGCATGCACCCCGACCACGATATCCCGTTCCCAGTCCCGACCTTGCGGTAGCTCGTCCGGCGGCGGATCGGCGCTCAGCGCAGCCTGTCTCGCCTGTTCCTGCGCAGAGTCCTTCCCATATTTGCGTCGCAACTCGCCCGCTGCCAAATTGCGAAGTGTTCGGGTTTCGGCCTTCACCTTTTCTAGGAATTCGGCATCCTCAAACGCATCAAATGGATGCATGCGCGTTTTGGTCTGGTCGCGGGGAAGAAGGAGGAGGTGTAGCGATGACTTTGGGAACATGTCGTGGATCGCCACAAAGTCGTCATTGTGATAGACTACGACATCGGTAGCGTACGTCTCAGGCTTTGCAATGTAGGCGCCTAGCCCGTCGCGAGCCCCAAATACACTTTTGCCTTTGGCCGCATTGCGATCAGATGGGGCTTTAGGTGCGTGCTTGGATTGCTTGCTTTTGGGGGCCAGGAGTTCGGTAACTACCAAACCAACATGTCAGTCAAGTAGTTCTCAGTGACAAGGCTATAGGTATCATTACAGGCATTTCTCTTTTCCGATGTCCCAGCTTGCTCCTTTGGGTCACCCTTGCTTGGATTGGAGTGCTCCCCGGACATGATGGTTATTGTAGAAGTTTGACTCGTTGGTCACACGGTAGATATTAGCTGTAGCATTTCCTTTGAGCAACGAAATCCAATTCTCACATCAGTGGGCCGAGTAAGAGTACAAGACATGCGCGTGTTGGGAGTTAAGTCTCCCAGTGGTCCCTGCGCTCCTCCGTATGCTCCCCGCCACCCCAAAAGGGTTTAGTGCGGGTCGTTCTTTTGCCCGAAGCTCCAAAAGTTATCTTTTGCGCAAACACTCCTCATACACAAAATGCCACCTAAGAAGAAGGGCGATGGCAAGGGCGGCCCGAAGCCGGGTACGAAACAAGCCAAAGCTGTGGCAGAGAAAGCTGGCGAAGTGAAAAAGCAAGTGCCGGAGGAGCCCAAGAAACCCTCCGTGAAGGATGTCATTGGCGGCGCATCGTGGACAGGGAAGCTACCAGTCAATATGCTGGCGGAGCACTGTCAGAAGCAAAAATGGGAAAAGCCCGAGTACAGCATGGTATTCAAATCTCCCCGTGGCACTCGTCACATGTCTACAAACACATATACCAAAGCCAGATGCTGATAAGGTGCGACAATTGCAGATTAAAACCGCCGACGGCTTTGTGTCAACCGTAACGATGAAGAAGATAGATCCCAAGACCAAGGAATTGATTGTGATCCCACCAATCAAGCTCCCTCCCTCCCATAGGCACCTCGCTGGGCAGCCAACAGCCCTCGAAGCGCGCCATTTCGGTGCAGCGTTTGCTTTATTCCGAGTATGCAATATGCGCAATATTCATATGATGATGCCTCCAACGTATAAGAAATTGTGGAAGGAGGAGTTTGGAGAAATTAAAGCAGCAGAGACTCGGGAAGGCAAGGGCTGGATGTACGAGGCAGATCCATTCCTAGCCAAGCAAGAAAGAGAGAGTGCGGCCGCCGATTTGGCAAAGAAGCGATCAGATCGTGAAAAAGCACAGGCAAAAGAGAAGGCCTCAAATGTGGAATTAGGGCTAGGGAATGGAGATGCCAGGAGTAAACGTATCTGGTCGCAAGCACCCAAGGTGGATATGGGCACACGAATTCGACGAGATATCGAAGGCCTTTTGCGGCAACACACAGTTTGGAACCCATATGGCGTGAAGATCTCGGAAACCCAAAAGAAAGCCATTGCAGATGAATTCACCGGTCTAGGGTTCCGTCGCAGCCATGTGGAAGAAGCTACAGCAGAATGCAAAGACCGCGAAGAGGTCTTGGAGTGGCTTCTTATCTATGTTCCTGATGATGACCTCCCACGCTGGTCTCTACCGGAAGGATATTCAGCTGGAGTCAGTCTTGGTTCTGGTGATCTCGCTCGTGAGGGTAAAATCAAACGGCTAGCATCCGTTGGCTATCCAGCTGATATGTGCTCGCAAATCTTGGACAGCAAGAATGGCGACGAATTGGCGGCTGCTGAGCAACTACAAGGCACTTTAGCCCATGGAACTCAATTCTCGGCCCCATCGGTGGCCGACGAAGACGAAGAGGCTTGGGCAGAAGAGGCGACTACGCTGGAGGCCATCTTCGGTGACCGTTATCACCGCATATCAGCCAAGGTCTGTGAGATCAATAGCGAGGCATCGGACATTCCATCAAACACAATCTTCCGCTTCCAAAAGCCCACCGCTCACTATCCAACCACCCCTCCTGTCATATCAATCCAGGCCAAAGGCGTCCCAGCTTATATACGCCTTAGTGCGATCCGTCGGGCAGTACAGTATGCAGAGGAAAACTTTACGGGTGAATCTATGATTTTCAACATTATGGACTGGCTGGAGGTCAACCTGCCGAGTATCATGGAGAATCCGGGTAAATTGCGAGAGATCTCCTCTGTGACTGCTTCGTCGGCACCTGAGACTCACCAAATTCCTGTGCGTTCGGCTCGAAAGAATCGCAGAGGTATTGACTGGAAGGTCGACTCGGAACGAAGCTTGGCGATCCGAGATGCTTGGGAAGCCAAACAAGATACTGTGCCGCAGGTCGAGATGACACGGAAAAGAAAAGCACTTCCTGCATGGAATATCCAACATGAAATTATCCACGCTATCAACTCAAACCAAGTGACTATCATCTCTGGTGAGACTGGTAGTGGTAAAAGTACGCAATCCGTACAGTTTGTTCTGGACGACATGATCCAGCGAGGACTGGGCGGCGCCGCCAACATCATCTGCACGCAACCACGACGAATCTCGGCCCTGGGTCTTGCCGACAGAGTTAGTGATGAGCGATGCGCAGTAGTCGGTGATGAAGTCGGATATGTGATCCGAGGCGAGTCGAAAGCCAAGCCTGGTTTAACAAAGATTACCTTCGTGACTACCGGTGTCTTGCTGCGCCGGATCCAATCGGGTGGCGATGCTGATGGCAACGTCGCAAGCTCCCTCGCAGACGTATCGCACGTGGTGGTCGACGAAGTCCACGAGCGAAGTCTGGATACAGACTTCTTACTGGCGCTACTGAGGGATGTTCTAAATTACCGCAAGGACCTGAAAGTTATTCTCATGAGTGCCACCCTCGATGCTGGCATCTTCATGAGATACTTTGGCAGTCAGAGATCTGTTGGACTGGTGAACATTCCCGGCCGAACATTCCCTGTCGAAGACTACTACTTGGATGACGTTATTCGGTACACATCATTTGCGCCAGAACTTGCCGAGGAATATGAAGATGAGGAAGAACTCCCTCGGGGTGAAGGAACACTTGGAAAAGCCCTGCGGAGCTTGGGTATGGGAATCAATTACGATCTGATTGCAGCAACTGTTGAATACATCGATGCTCAGCTAGGAAACCAGCCAGGAGGCATCTTGATCTTCCTCCCTGGTACTTTAGAGATTGATAAGTGTCTGAACGCAGTCAAAAGGATTCCTGACATGCATCCTCTGCCATTGCATGCCTCCTTACTCCCGGCCGAACAACGACGAGTATTCCAGAGCGCACCAAGAGGAAAGAGAAAGGTCATTGCGGCTACAAACGTCGCAGAAACCTCAATCACAATCGAGGATGTTGTTGCTGTCATTGACACTGGTCGAGTCAAGGAAACGAGCTATGACCCCAAGGACAACATGGTCCGTCTCCAAGAGGTTTGGGCATCACAGGCCGCCTGTAAACAGCGTCGTGGTCGAGCAGGCCGTGTCCGCGCAGGTATCTGCTATAAGCTATACACCCGCAAAGCCGAATCAAACATGGCCCCACGACCAGACCCAGAAATCCGCCGTGTTCCCCTAGAGCAGTTGTGTCTATCCGTGAAATCCATGAAAGGTATCGAGGACGTCGCCACCTTCCTAGCCAACACCATCACTCCACCAGAAAGCATAGCTGTCGAAGGTGCACTCAACTTCCTGCATCGTGTAGGCGCTCTAGACCACGACAGACTCACAGCCCTAGGATGCTACCTCTCCATGATTCCCGCAGACCTCCGCTGCGCCAAGCTCATGATCTACGGTTCCATCTTCGGCTGCATGGAACCCTGCCTCACAATCGCAGCCATGCTAACAGTCAAGAGCCCCTTCGTCTCACCACGCGAGAAGCGTGACGAAGCAAACGCAGCTAAAGCAAGCTTCTCCCGCGCCGGCGACGGTGATCTCCTCACCGATCTCTCAGCATACCAGGCCTGGTCCGAGCGAACCCGCGCCCAGGGCGGCTACTGGGGCACCCAATCATGGTGTGTGGCCAACTTCCTCTCCCATCAGACGCTGCGCGATATCTCCTCGAACCGTGCGCAGTTCATCACCTCCCTCAAAGACGCCGGCATCCTGCCAATCCATTATTCCGACACGTCGGCTTCGGCCTGGAACCGCAATGCAGCCAA